TAACTTGGATCGGGTACCACGTTTCGGTATGCTAACTGTTTGGGCTTGAGTTCCATGAGAGGACCAATTATTTGATATAAAATGTGAAGTTTCTTGTTGTTCGTAAATGTTGATAATATTGTATATGCTGAAATATGTATGCATGTGATTATATCGTTGTATTGACATATATATGGTGTACTTAGTGGACACATGTTATGATGGTTTATATTTGATTGTTCGTTGTATTGAGCGAACTTGTTGGGTATAGTGGAATGGTAAAGTGTTCAAGGGGCGAGTGATGGATGGCAAGGGTTGTTCGTGTGTCGTAATAGCGAGAAGTAGGGGTAGTGTATGTGATGAAATAGGCTTAGGTGGATTTCACCTTGGGGAAAAAGATTGGGTTTAGTGGTAAGGAAGTTTGATGTAGTGTTCTATGTCACCATGGTTGAGTAATGTGACAAGGAAGTAAGGGTGCGAAGTGAGCGGTTAGTTGGAATGCTTGTGGGTGTATTTGGGGTTTCATTAATGTGTTAGAATGGTTAGGTGATGATCAAGAAATTGGTAAGTAGGTTGATTGAGAAGGTGGTTAGTAATCAGAGTACTGGTGTAAATTGGAGGTATTTTAAGAAGGGGTAAATGTGGAGAAGCGAGTGGTTTATTCCATGATCTTACTATTCGGTTTCTTATGTTATGTGGTGGGCGTCGGGTTGACCGATGATGCCTACCAGTATGTGTGTTTGTACTGATACTACTCTTGCTATGTCTTTTTGACATAGTCTGGATGCAGGTTGGTGATGTTTCATTAGGTGAAGACAAAGAAATCATCTAGCAGCTTCTATTATTCCTTCCGCATGATGGGAGCTGTGTCTTTTATTTGTTTGTCCAGTTGTACTCTTAGTAGCTCTTGTACCGGTTTAGACTAGATCTATGGGAGTTGTTAGTTACTTTACAAGTGTTAATCAAAGGAGTATCTAAAGTTCTCATTTATAAAATCATGTTATTTTATGTATCTCTATTCTCTTAAATTTTCCGCATGTTTAAACTATTGGGATATGAGGGTTCTCCTACTTAGGTGTTAGAATGGGTACGCGCACGGCTCGATGGGTTGGGTCGTGACACCTCAAGTCAAGGGTTCATGAGCTTTACTATTATACCACACAATAGTCATGGACGGAGCTAGAACACCCCTTAGAAATTCTATATGAACTTAATAGTTTTAGTTCAAACCCTATATTTATCTATAAAAAACTCCTCTAATATGTACCAAAATATTAATTTCGAACCAAACAACTTAAAACACACACAAAAGAAATTGCAGATGAAATCGCGACGTCTTTCGGGGAAGTAAAGGAGAGAATATCACAAACACATCCTTCTGGTAGCAATAGGAAATAGGCCATTATTGGAAAACTGATTTTTGAAGTTTTGTGATTTTTTTGTTTATTTAAAGCAAACTGAGAGAAGTTTGTTGGAGAGTTGTTACACTTCATATGTCTTAGCGGTTAAGTATTTGTTAATCTATATTTTTCTTGAAAAAAAAAATAGGAGGAAATTCATATTATAATATATCGAAATGAAAAAGACTGGCGATATTTATTACTTCCTCCATTTCAAATTAATTGAATTGTTGAGGTGTTTCACACCCTTTAAGAAAAGAAGATTAAGACATAAATTAGGCATAACATTTCATTTTTACCCTTATTAATTATTGTCAAATTTATGATTAAAATAATTAAACATTAATTAATAACTAATTCCAATACTAACTAATGAAGAGTAAAATTGAAAGAACGTTTTAAAAGTAACCTTGAAAATTGAACAATTAAGTTAATTTGAAAAATAAAAAATGTCTCAACAATTCAATTAATTTGAAATGGAGGGAGTATTGTTTTGTTTATTTTTATTTGTCCAATATGAATATAATAAAACAAAAAGGACATATGATTTAGAATTGATATATACCTCTACTATTACACAAATAGCCTAGATATACCCTTTTGGCCTAAATATTTTGTTTCCAAAAAAAATAAATTAAAGAATTGATATCTTAATTAAAACAAATTAGGTGTCTTGAAACAAACCCGATTTCCAATACAAGCACTGATATATATTGTTATCACTAAATACAAGTTACAACGTATAATACACACAACAAAGTAATAACACACTAATTACGAATAGATTAACATAGAAGAAGGTAACTAGAAAGGGATGAGATACTAGAACAAAGAAAGGAAATGAGAGATAACGGAAAGCCAAAGCTTCTACATAATTTGCATTACCATTTTTCTAACTCCTAGTCCTTTTTTAACAAATGGTTATTGGGCCTGGATCCCAAATAAAAGCCTCTAATAGCCCATAGGCCCTTATGGAGTCAGCTTGGTTCACAACAATACTCCCGCCCTCAAAATGAACCTTGTCCTCAAGGTTCGAGTGGAGGCACCGTGACATTACAATAGCAAATCTGTCTAGGCTTAAAGGTGAGTCGAGAGCTACTGCTTTTGTGTTAGAGTGAAACCAAGAGTTTCTAACCTTAAGTAGTGATAAGTCAACTCCAGTGCCCTTTGCAGATTCTAAATTACCAAGATGAATAACACAAGCCACACCTCTTGTAATTACATTAGTGGTCGGGCCTTCATGTTCCACCGGTTTCTCTTCAATGCTTCTAAGGCCACTGTTAGTTAAAGCAGCAGTAGCAATTGAAACTAATTTCACCAATTCAACCGCAGTTAGCCACTTTGTGTGAACATATGCATACATAGCTCTTAAAATTCAAACTTCACGTCGCACTTCAATCTCTGTGCTTGTGCAATTGTGTTGTACATCTCTCTATTGTCCATCCAAAGGGTTAGCCATGGAAAAATCACAATACAATAGATATGATATCAAATTGATGAGCACTTTTAATGTCAATTGATGAAGATCATGTTTGTCGGCAGAAAGAGGCATGTTTCATTTAGATAGATTAGTTATTGCTTTAGAGATTTTCAAAAGGACACCATCCATGTCTTCAAGAATTGGTACATCAAAAGTACCTCCTTCAGGATCAAAGACTAAAATCATTTCCAAAGCAATTTGACCTCTAGAAATTTTCTTTGTTTGTCTAGCTATGACACAGGGATAAACTAGTGCAATTCCTTCTCTGTGAAATTTTTCAACTTCATGATATGGAGAACTGATTAATGAATCAGTAAAAAAGTCAGTTAATGGTCTGGTAAAATAGCAAGTCCAATAATTATGCATCGTTGGTGAGGAACCATCTTCAGCCAGAGAACTAGGAAAATCAGTTAATGACCGCAATGATTGTATGAAGCTAGCAAGACTTAGTGTAGGATGTGTCATTCTTCTACTCTCCAAACTTGTATCAAATTTCAAATTCATGCATTGAGAAGGGAAAGCAAACAGTCCCCTGGAGTTTTTCTCCCAATCCTTATTCCGAGTGTTCATTTTCAAGTGGGTGTAATTGTAATTAAATTGCAAAGAAACAATAACTGTCCCTGGAAGATTAGAAAGCAAATGGAAAAATACATACACCATCGTCGTCCTGGATCCCACACTTGAGTCATATAATTAACATACGCGATGAAGCAAAACATGTCAATAGATCCCAACAAAAGTAATGACTTAGTCTCATGCTCCGACTAAAAATCAAGAAGATACATGTCTTCAAAGGACACAAATTCAATTTGTTGTTTCGGAGAGCCAGAATCCAAAGAAATTGTCGTAACATACCTCTCAGACATATCTCTTTGGGGACTTTCATGAAACTGTTGGATTTCGCTAATATCAAGATCTATATCATCTTCATCCAACATTTCAATTTGATCATCTAATGGCTCCAAGGTGAATACATTGGGGAAGTTATTTAACATTTTGTCGAACATCTTGTGCGCATCAGTTTTGGTCAAATATTCAGATTTCTCATCAAAGTTCTGAGGCAACAACGAATTGGATATATCGCTCATTTGTGGATGCACATATGCAAGACATGATGAAAGTATATCTGGCTCACTGAAACCTGGCGAAATAGCCTCAAAAGGACTTGGGTACTTAGTCACAGTGGGCACCTGCCATAGATTGGCCAAAAGACCAACCTGCGATTTGAGATGTCATTTGCGGAAGCGAATTAACACTTTCGCAGTGAAGTGTTCCCAATCTACCAATTGTTTGTTCTGGAAAAGCCATTGGTACCACGTCAATGCTGCTCCGTCAAGATAAGACGAGGCGAGAGATAACTTGTGGTTTTCTGCAATTTCATAGAAGTCAAGTACTGTACAGCCTAGGAAATCCAAAACTCTGAATTCTCGCCACATAATCATTGAAATTCTAGTGTGCTAAGTTTACTCGTTGGAAGGTTTCCAACCAACTCGTGTAACATTGAACGAATTTCCCCGAGATCCTTCAACCAAGTACCCTTCATGACCTCAATTGAATCTTTAATTGTTCGAACTATTTGGTCCTCCATTGAAGACCTCTGGATGAAAGCACCAATGAAACAAACTCGATTTCCAATACAAATACTGATATATATTGTTATCACTAAATACAAGTTACAACGTATAATACACACAACAAAGTAATAACACACTAATTACGAATAGATTAACATAGAAGAAGGTAACTAGAAGGGGATGAGATACTAGAACAGAGAAGGAGATGAGAGATAACGGAAAGCCAAAGCTTCTACATAATTTGCATAACCGTTCTTCTAACTCCTAGTCCTTTTTTAACAAATGGTTATTGGGCCTGGATCCCAAATAAAAGCCTCTAATAGCCCATAGGGCCTTACGGAGTCAGCTTAGTTCACAACATGTCTTGACTCTGACATTTACCTCTTTCTTTAAAATTTTCCTCTAAAATCTTGAATATTGAAGAGAAAAATGGAATGTGATATTCCACTAATAACACTAAACATGAAATGGCTTATGATAATAATAATAAAAAATACATGTATTAGAAGTAGATAAAGCTGGAAACACCAGAAGAAAGATAGGATAATAATTGGGCTCAGTAGGAAATTATTCTATAAAATGCTGAAAATCATTGTCTTGGTAGTTGATAAGGAGTGGCAACCAAAATAAGGTCATCTTTCTGGCAGCAGTTACTCCAACCAATTCAGTCAAGTTCAAGTCTTTTGGCTCCATTCCATTAGGGAGTTTCCAATCGAAGTGATATAACAACTGTGCCAACGGCAAATAAACATTGGCTAAGCCAAATGATATCCCGGGACAAATCCTTCGCCCACCGCCAAAGGGAAGATACTCAAAATTGTTACCAATAAAGTCGACAGAGCACTGCTCAAATCTCTCTGGCTTAAAGCTTTCTGCGTCATCCCAATATTTCGGATCTCTTCCCAATGCCCAAACATTAACCATCCCTTTGGTCTTCACAGGAATAGTGCAGCCGTTTATATCCGTCTCTTCCCTACATTCTCTTGGGACTAAAAGTGGAACTGGTGGATGGAGTCTTAGAGTTTCTTTAATGACTAACTTCTTAGAGTTTCTTTAATGACTAACTTTAAGTGCTCCTCTACATCATTTTCATCGAATGTTTCTGTCTTTAAAGGCTTCTCGTACTTCTGCTTGAGCTTTGGCGAATACACTTGGGTTTTTCATCATTGGCACCATTGCCCACACAAGCATTGACGATGAAGTCTCTGTTCCCGCAGCAAACATGTCCTGCACATAGGAACAAAATGAGTTATTTATGGTGATTGATCTTATGTATAAACAAAAATGTAAAATATGTAATAGTACTTACAAAAATAATAGCTTTGATGTTGTCATTGGTGATCGGAAATTGAAGGCCTCCATCATTCATAAGTCTTATAAAGACATCAGTTAGATCTTCACCACCTAATGCACCATTAGTTTTCCCAATTGCAATGTTCTTCTTGTGCTCATTGATGGCATCTTCAACTACTACATCTACCTTATGATGAGCATCTTCAACAATGTTCTTCTTTTGGAAGAGTTAATTTGTGTGTTTGGTGATTCTTCAATGTTGTGTTACATATGCTCTTTTATAGGTTTCTAACAAAATGGAATGTGTAGAAATAGTGATATAATTTTCAACAAATATATATATTACAAAGCAGACTTTGTTGAAGTCAAAACAATTCAGCTCACTCAAAAACACATAATGATAAAAACAATTCAGCTCACCATAATAATGTAATATGCAAACAAAAGTTTTTTTTTTTGGATCAATTATTTTGATGCCAAAAATATTAATTTATATTATCACCAGGCTTGGGGGATGCCAAAATATGTTTATTGCCAGGCTGGGATTATTTTAATAAAAATATTATCTATTTTCTTGAGTCAATTCGTGTTTTATAGCCCAAGTCTAAGGGTGTCAAGTGGGACATGCCGGGGACTGGTGAACTGGGATGGGGGGACCGGGCCGGCACAATTATGGCGGACCCAGTTTTGGCTGAAATTGGAACTCTGCCGGGACATAATACCGAGTTCGCATCCCGACTCCGGTCCCACTTTTTTTAAAAAAAAAAATTTACCACTAGACAATGTCTAGTGGTCTTTTACTAAAAATAAATAGATATCAATAGGGATAAGTACAAGCAAGGGGAGCTAAGCCTTATCTTACCAATCCTAATGAAGTACTAATTTCTACAACCTTATAACAAGTATGAAAAAAATAAGAGCTAGAGAGAATTAAGTAATTTATGATAACCATAGAGTTTGTAATATACTTCATGATGATATTGAAAGTTAAGAGGGTGGGGGGGGGGGGGGGTGAATTAAAATTCCCTTCAGTCGACTTCCTACTCTGGTCAGTCGACTCACCTGCACGTTAGTAAAATAGATATGCAGTAATAATAACTTGCAGTAAGTAAATAACACAGAGTGTTTTTATATTGGTTTGGATCACTGATGTGGTGCCTAGTCCAGTCCCCTTGGTTTACAAGGGTGTTCTTAAAAGCTTGTTGAGAACTTGGGTGTTACAGAATCTTACGATTAAGAGCCTCGTCTGATATGCAAATCAGATCTTCTTCTTCGACACAATCTTTACCTGTATAACCTACACTCAGATCTTTCTTTCTCTTTTCTTTCAATTGTTCACTTAAGGGTGTACAAAGTTTTATGAAAGATTAAAGAAGATTACAATATAAGTTCAAGTGAAGTGCGTACTTCACTCTTAAGTCTGAGAGGGTATTTATATGAACAGACTTGTGCTCTTGTAAGGACAACCCAAGGGAGTTATAATTTAATCAAGGATTTAAGGATTCCCTTGATTGAGGCGATTTGCTGATTCATGTCCATATCATATATGTGCATGGTAAATCACATTCTTTCCTTTTTGATAGATATGACTCGATTATTTGCTTGGCTGGAGAATTCATCTTGATATTTCGCTTTGATCTGCTTTCCTTTCTTCTCTTGACAGCTTGGTTCTATTCTTGGCTTGCTTAATGATTTCTTGACCTGCCAGCAATTTATTTTGACTTTTGGCTTGATTGTTGATTTTCTCGATCTGATCCTATCAGTCACAATTTGCTTGATTGATCTGCTGTCAACTTTAAGTTGTCTTGTTAATGATTCTTAATTCCTTTGATTATGCCCTTCCTTTTCTGTAGTATTGGAAGGATCAGAACATATCTCATTCCATGTTTGTATTATCTCATCCCATATTTGTATTGTTCTACTTGAATCCTTTTCTTATTGGATCTCCATGCCTTCTTGATTTGCAGGCTGTTCGATTTCCTTCCCTTTTGACTTCCTGCGAGTAGATTATGAGTTAGCTTGTCATTATTCAGAATATCATAAGTTAACAATCTCCCCCATTTTGATAATGACAGCTATAACTAATACAGGTTTAATTTAACTTCCCTGTTGGATGTATCTTTGACCGACATCCTTGTGCTCCCCCTTTCTGTATGCTCCCCCTTTCTATATGTCGTGTCTAGATTTTCTCCCCCTTTGACATAATAAAAAAGGAAAACAAACAAAAGCAACAAACACGATAGGCAAAAGCAAATATACAAGCAGAGAGTATGGGGCGAGAAACCCCAAAATTATAGTCCAAAAGAAATGGAGATATAACTCCACAAACTGGTTGTCTTAAAAAACAGGCTTAACAATCACCAAGAAAGTATTTCAGAGAGGTCAGCATGCTCCTCATGCTTGTCAAAGTACAGAAATACCAAGACATTCTCGAAGGAAACAAAATCTTTCCTCAAGCAAAGGTTTTGTAAAAATATTGGCTAAGTGATTTTCAGAATCAACAAATTCAAGCACAAAATCACCATTTTCAACATGATCACGAATAAAATGATGCTTGATGTCTATATGTTTAGCCCTGGAATGATGCACAGTATATTTAAATAAACTAATAGCACTAGTATTATCACAAAAAATGGGTACTCCCTCAAAGGATAGATCATAGTCCAGGAGTTGATGCATCATCCAAAGTAGTTGAGTGCCACAACTTCCGACAACCAGATATTCAAATTCAATAGTTGAAAGGGCAACAGAGGTCTGTTTCTTACTATGCCAGGAAATAAGAGATTTTCCCAAAAACTGGCATGTTCCACTAGTGCTTTTTCTGCCATTTTTATCACCTGCAAAGTCAGCATCTCAATATCCAATCAAATCAAAAAAATTGAAAAAGGATACCATAACCCCATATCAGAGGTTCCAATGAGATATCGATTAATTCATTTCACAGAGGTGAGATGTGACTCCTTTGGAGCGGATTGGAATCGTGCACATTTGCAAACACTGAACATAATGTCGGGTCGACTTGTAGTGAGATATAATAATGACCCAATTATTCTTCGATAAAGTTTTTCATCAACTGTTTTTCCTGTTGTATCGAATTCGAGGCAGGTGGAGGGACTCATGGGAGTGCCAAATGATTTGCCTTTTTCCATTCTAAATTTTTTGATCAACTCTTTTGCATACTTTCCTTGATTTATAAAAATTCCTTTTTATGATTGCTTAATTTGAAGACCAAGAAAGAATGAGAGCTCGCCCATAAGACTCATTTTAAATTCTCCTTTCATAAGATTTGCAAAATCCTCACAAAGAAAAAGGTTAGAGCTTCCAAATATAATATCATCAACATAAATTTGAATAATAAGAATACAGGAATCAAATTTTTTTTAAAACAAGGTTGTATCAATTTTCCCTCTAAGAAAATCATTTTTTATCGAAAAAATGCTCAATCTTTCATATCAAGATTTTGGGGCTTGTTTTAGACCGTAAAGAGCTTTATAAAATTTGAAAACATAATCAGGATAGGAGGGATTTTCAAAACCAGGAGGTTGCTTAACGAAAACTTTTTCTTTAATGAATCCATTTTAAAAAGTATTTTTACCGTCCATTTGAAAAAGTTTGAAGTGATTGAAAGAAGCAAATGCTAGAAGAATTCGAATAGATTCCAACCTTGCTATAGGAGCAAAGGTTTCATCATAGTCAACTCCTTCTTGCTGAGAGTAACCTTGAGCTACTAACGTGGCTTTATTTCGGATAACTTTTCCGTTTTCATCCAATTTGTTGCGAAAAACCCACTTTGTTCCTATCATAGAACAGTTTTTAGGTCTTTCAGTAAGAGTCCATACCTGATTCTTTTCGAATTGATCAAGCTCTTCTTTCATTGCTTGAATCCAAGATTCATCTTCCATTGCTTTATTTATTCGTTTTGGTTCCATTTGAGGTATGAGAGCTAATGAAGCTTGTTTCTTGAGAGAGGATTTAGTCTGGATTTTATCATCTGGTTTTCCCAAAATGAAGTTTTCAGGATAGCTTGCATTGTGTCTCCATTCTCTGGGTACATTTGTTTTGTCAGCTGGAGCAGTCGACTCTACTTCTGCAGTAGTCGGCTCTTCAGTGATATTTTCTGTGGACATTTTAGAAATGACTTCTGCTGATTTGGATGATTCAATTTCATCCTCACCTGCTTCACTTTCCTGCATTCTTGGATTAGTGTCATCAAATACCACATGGACAGATTCTTCAACACTTAAATTTCTTTTATTAAAAACACGAAAGGCACTGCTAATGGGAGCATAACCTAGAAATATACCTTCGTCACTTCTAGGATCGAACTTACCAAGATTGTTCTTACCGTTATTGTGGATGAAACATTTGCATCCAAACAGATAGAAGTAGCTGATGTTTGGTTTCTTACCTCTCCATAGTTCATATGGAGTCTTCTTTAGTATAGGTCTGATAAGACACTTGTTAAGAATATGACAAGCAGTGCTTACAGCTTCTGCCCAAAAATGGTCAGGGAGATTTCGATCGAGTAGCATAGTTCTTGTTGTATCTTGTAAAGAACGATTTTTCCTTTCCACTACTTTGTTTTGCTGAGGTGGTCTAGGTGAAGAGAAATTTTGAGTGAACCCATTTTGAGCACAGAACTCTTCAAATGCCTTATTCTCAAATTCACCACCATGATCACTGTGAATAGTTGTAATAAAATAAACTACTTCTCTTTGAACTTTTCTACAAAATACTTCAAAA